TGACAAAATCATCATCAGTCAATTGCAAAAGGCAGCTTTACTTGGAACAGCTTACATCCTGTGGCAATACCTTTAATATTATTAAACAACAATTGCCTATCCCAGGTCCTTCAGAAGGATTCAACAGGTGGACAAAAATGCCAAATTCAGTCTAAACACCTGGCTGATGGTGTGACCATCCATAATAATAATAATAAATTATTAATAATAATTTATTTATTAATTTATTAGAAATGTGATGATAATGAAAGCTGCCAAGGAGTCCGAAAGAATTAGCAGGACCACACTCCCCCATCCATTTTTTGGTGTAAGTCTTCTACCAAAGTGTTTCAATAACATCCTGACCAAACACCTCTTGAAAAGTATACAGATAATCAGCATCATCCCCATGGGATCCACCTTTTCCCAATCTCCTTTCTCGAAAGCAAAATATTTGATACTGTTCCATAACTACAGAATATTCAGGTCAGGTGCAGGTTTTTTCAGGGGAGGTATAATTTCTGCCCCCTTTAGCAAGAAGAAACAAATCCATACCACAAGGAAACAATGAATAACTCTTTTAACCTTGGGGCCTGTTCTGTCTTGGTAATTTAATCAGCCACAGTAGCAAGCCATGCAGGTGGTAGCCTTAAAGTCTTCACACACCCTATCTACATCCTCAAGATTGACTCAAAATAATAGGACATCTAGTTGCAAGGACTACAAATATTTAAAAACATATCTCTTTGACTTACCAAGAGTCCTCAATGTAAAATAAATTTTAAAATGTGTCCTAAAGAATTCATCAAGACATTTAATTTATCTCTAGTACTGTCCAAGCTGAAATGGAAACAATCAGTTCAACTGTTTGCCAAAGAAAACTATATGGCAAGCCATGAAACAACAAAAAATAGTTGTAGGAAAAAAAACATTTGCATTAATCAAAAATATATTTAAAAGCAACTGTCTTTACTTCCTGCTTTAATCATGCATTCTATTTACTCCTGATTGCTACTACTTGATTCTTGACTGCTGCTGATGGTTTCCATATTGCTGATTGCACACAGTGTTGCTTGTTGCCTACTGTGTGTGGCTGAAGCACTACTTGCTACTGATTTAGTTGAGGCAGCTACAGGGTATATATAAGGAAGCCAGTTTCTCTAAGACAGGGCTCACTGAAGAAGCAACAGAGGAAGCTAACAGGAGCTTTGGAGAAGTCAAAGGAGAGACACTTGTTATTCATCAGAGAAGACAGAGACAGAGGAAACTGCTCTTGTGACCTATACTAGATACACCTGTTTGTTTTTTTCCTGAACATAGTAAGAATGCTACATATGGTTCAAGTATAGGTTGACTGCCCTCTTGGAGGAAGTGAAGGAGCTAGAGGCAAAGTTTTCTATTCCTCAGTTATAGGGAAGATGAATCAGGCACAGAAAGTGCCTGTGGACGGATTAGTACCAAGAAGCATCTTAGAAGACAGAAGAAATAGAGGAGATGGAAAGATAAAATGACATGCCCTAAGCCCATCAAGAAGAGATCTTATTCTCTGGGGCTTCAGAATAGATTCCAAGGTTTCATTGCTGGTAAAGTTTCTGGACCCCTGCATAAAGAAGAGCTTCTACAAGCCTCAATAATAAGATAGAGAACTCTACTAGGATCTGCAAAGAGATGGATTCTACAGAGTAGGGAAAGAAATGATAGATGGTAATAACAGGAGACTTCCTACTAGAGAACCAAAACAGTAATCTGCTTTCCAGTCTGTCAAGAGACTGCTGTCTTCCTGTGGCACACATTCAGAATGTGTTGGAAAAAAGATTCTTTAAGTCCACGAATAAATATCCCTTTCTACTGAGACGCATGGGTACAAATGACACAGCAAATACAACCTTGAAAATGGTAAAAGTGTTATGAAAGAAAGTTATCTTAGCCTAACTTTATTGTATTTGATAAAAGGGAACCTGGAAGGAGTTTGCTGGAATCACAATTCCATGATTGACAATTCACTCACTGACCACCTATTTGAATACCTTTCACTCTGCAAGCCTAGGTCAGGCAGGCCAATTCATTACATCTTGCAGTCAGAAATGAATTTTATTCATATCACTGACAAAGTCTCTGACAATTATGCCTTTCCCCAGAAGCACAGGAGATCCTTACCTTTGATCTGAGAGCACTCAAGAACATGCTATAGGCAGAGCTGGGATCTTGAAATTTTTACTCCTCACCAAGTTTACCAATATGTAGATTAGTAACACCCTAATCTTTAAGAAATACTTTCATTTATTTCCCTAATTAGCAGCTGCCTGTTTCAGCCTGTTCCCTTCTACTGTGCATTATTTTCTTGGGATTGGTCATCTGATGCACCGGAATATGGAAATAGCCTTGATGAAGGCATGGAGAAGCCATTAAGGAGGAGAAATGACAATTTAGTTCTGGGAAAGGGGAAAGAAACTCAAAATAACCCTGCCTTGATTCTGTTCAAAATGGATATAAGCAAAAAAGCTGACATAAAGAGGGTGGAAAATGTACAGTTCTCACAAAGATGTAAAAATAGCAAACTGCTTAGATGCAAGTAACACGATTCAGGAGGATAGTGACAAACTAGAATAATGGGCAATGGTAAAGTGAATTTCAACAGGGTCAAATGAAAAGTCCTACATTTAGGTAGAAAAAAATCCAAGATATGGGTATAGAATGGAGGACCATGCTGGGAGCAGGGCATAAGGAAGGTATCTGGGTGTCTTGGTGGATTTCTAGCTGAAGATGACGCATCAGTCTGATGCAGTTACCAAAAAAAAAAAAAGCACATGGAATCCCAGGCTACATCAATAGAAGTATAGTGTCAAGACCAAAGGAAGTCACATTTCTTAATTTTGTGTTGGTCAGATAATGTACCTCTAATATTATATCCTGTTTTTTGCTGTGTATTTTAGGTAAGACATTGAATAAATGGGGGAGAATGAATGCAATCAAGATGGTAAATAGTCTTTAAAAAAAAAAACTTGGTAGGAGACATTGGGTATGTGGGGAAGGGGAAGGGGAAGGGGAAGAGAAGAGAAGAGAAGAG